AAAGAAAACCACATGGGTTGGCAGCAAAACGCAGCCACAATTGAACACCTTTGAAAACCCATGTGAAAAAAGCTTGAGGTGCAGCAGCAAAAGAAGTATGAGATGGAATTGATTCCAACCACACTAACATAGACAAGATGAAGTGGGAGTTATGGATTGTATTAAAAGAGGAATGGTGGTGTTGGAATTCATCATGATGTTCCTCCCTCTTAGCCCTATAAATAGAGAAGTCTTCAAGCTTCAAAACATACCCCCAAAGGGGGGAGCTCTCAAACCCTTCTCTAGAGCTCCCCTCCCTTCTCTCCCTCAAATTCTCTTAGTTTCTCTTTCTAGTTTTCAATTGTTGTAATGAAATCTTTGTGCTGAAATTCTCTTTCTAGTTTCTCTTAGTTTCTCTTACTTTTCATTGTTATGTAAATTCTTTTCTTTAGTTTCAAGTTTGATTAGTTTCCAAGTTTCAATTATGGTTTTTGTTCTTATTCATTATGCTTATAAGTTAATATGCGAGTTTGAATGATTTATCACCATTTAGGCTTGCATGTTAGCTATCTTGGTTTGAATTAAGAGTAGAAACCATGCTTTAATTCGAATTGAACTATAAATAGGAAGAGTATGTATGGACATTCGACAACAGGGATTAAATACATACTTGGTTGTTTAAAATGTTCTTCTACGCTTAATGGATTCCTAATGCTTAGTTTAGGTTAGACAACAGATGATCAAATTAGGGAATTAGGAATACAAGGTTAGGACCAAACACCATGGCTTAATCATACTTTAGCTAGAATCAATCCGTTAATCTAATTGAACTTGGGAACTTATCTGCTTGAGTTATTTTCTTTTCTTTCTTTCTTGTTTTATTTATTTTCTTTCTTGTTTTTCTATGAAATCGACCTCGCACTTACATATGCTATACTACCGAACGGCTCGTGCACTTGCGAGTATCACAAGTTGAGGATGCAGCTGAATCTATTTTGGTGCAGCTGAATCGACGCAACAAATCGCTGGTGGTGGTGCTCTGGTACACGTCTACTGCCTGGGGACGCAAAACATTAAAAATGTGAGTGGACAAAATAAAGTTTTGGAAAATAGAATACTAACATACTAATCCCATTGTCAAAACTTTCAGAAAATTCGATTTTTTTCATTTCCTATATTTGTACAAGAATTTAAGAAATGCATATTTATATATAACTAATCACGCATTCAAACAAATTATCAAAACCTTTTGAAAGTGTTTTAAAGAAATAATTCTTTTCCACCTAGGTGTACCCATCATATATCCGTCAATTCCATGATCTTTATATCCATTTCCCACATTATACCGTCAATTCCTTGTGTCACATAATGTGGCACATCCTCGCAGGCCTCGGTGACACAAATCAACCCGAGCCTCATTCCTCGCATTCCTCGCAAGACTCAGGGGACTCTTGATCAACCTGAGCCGCATCCTCGCTCCTCACTGTCCAGATATCCCTAAGACTCGTGGGGCAAATGTCAAACGCGAGCTGACTCAACCGAAGGCAACTAGAATATCTGTGGACATCACTTCCTTTTCTACTTTCCAAGACATTCACATTTAAATATAAACAAAATGTAATAAAAACATTTGAATTCAAATACTTATGCTTGGAAAGTAAAAGTCATAAATAATTCATTCACGATCAACTAATAAAACTTTAATTGCATAAAATTCATTTATAAAACAAAAGTCCACTCATTGAGCGTCCGAGTTAGCCTGACCCTTCAAGGGTCCTTCCTGCGGGTTCAACGAAGCATGAGTACCTATTTAAGCAATTAAGACATTTAATTAATAAAATAGCTCAACCATAGATATTTAATCAAAACCCTGACCTCTGGCCTCAAAAGTGCGTGTACAAAATTTAGGAAAGTTCCTAGGCCCATTTCCAACATTTTTGACAGGTGGAATGGTCTAAAAATACCCGAGGTTCAATAAGCGATTAATTTCCCATAATGGTAAATCTGGTACCCTGTGGGGCCCGCGACTTCCAATTACCAAACCGAGAGTTCCTATAGGTTCAACACCATTTACTAAACATGCCTTGCAAGTTTGGTCCGAATCGAACGGTCGGATTGCTCACGATCGCACGATTGAACGTTCTCGTTTATCCTAAACTTTGAATTATTGAATCGGAGTATCTGGGACTCCGATTCTTGATCCTCAAATTCCTACACAATCCTAGAGGTGTCCAGATTAACATATTTGAAAATGAAATCGATCCAACGGTCCGAACATATCGAACCCGGATAACGCCTAATATGCGATATCCGATCAACGATCAAGCAGTAACCAAATTGAAATCCGAGCATGCCGTCGTGCTCAAGATGACATGATGATCATTTTAAGACCAAGAGGGACACCAAAACAGTGCCCACGTGCCGCCACACAAGTCGGCAGAATGTGGGTGTCCTAAGCGATTTTCGGCGATCGGAAGAACTCCAAACCGCCGGTCAAGACCTATACGTACATGAAGAGCACATAGAGTGGAGCAACTTTTGTTCTTGGACCTACCCCAAAAAGTCGACGGAAGTGGCCGGAATCAGAGGCCGAAAACTGGCCAAACTATTATCGCTTATTTTACCGGCAAAATGCAGAAATTTCTCCTAAATACCACAACCAGCAACTAGAACACATTGAAAGGATAGAAAAGCATACCAAATTTGAAGAAAATGGTGGCCAGAGGCATCCGAACGAACTCCCGAAAATTTTATGTAAAATTGGCCAAAATCTTGCTTTTTCCCGCGACCGTTGCTGCGGATCGTGGCTGGGATGGGGTGGGGTGGAAGAGGGAGGAGAGGCGGTTCTAACGGGACCAGTGCCACCTCAAACGGTGGCGTGTGGCGGAGGTGGTGGTTGAAAAGCGTCGGTGCTGTTTCACGGGGGGTAAGGGGTAGCACGAGAAGAGAGAGAGAGAGAGAGAAGAAATTTCAGGTTTTTAAAAAAAAAAATCCATTTTTGAAATAATTACGATTTTGCCACTAAACTATTTTTTATCGTAACTTCTTCATTATAATTTCGATTTGAGCCCATTACGTGTCTACGGACTCATCTAGACATGCTCTGCACAACGATACAACTGAAACCCCCAAATTCCTTCCCAAACAAAAAGTCAATTTTTAAACTTAAAATATTTCCGGAGTAAAATTGTCTATTACTAGAATAAATTCATAATTAAATATTAATTTAGGATCGGGTTATTACAGAGGCTACCCCCACGCCCACAACCAGAGCAAACCCCAGATCTTTTTGAGATGTTTTAAACTAAAATTGATGGTTTTATCTTGGTACTTATTGGTGAAAGTTTTAATACATGTTTTCAGATTTATGAGATAAGGATTTACAGTTTTCTAAGTTTTAAGGATTTTATATAATTCACAACTATTTTCTTAAGTGATGAGTTTGTTTTTACATGTGAAAGATTGAAGTATGTTTTCTTCAAACTGTTAGTATTGATGTTAAGGTTTCACGTGGCCAATGTTATTTTAATAATTTTCTCGTTTTCCTACTTATCTGTATGTATTTGTATATGCACATATGTGATGGGTGAAAGATTGTTTTGAAATCAATATCTTTTGCTTAACTTTCAGCGGATTGATTAGAGTTTGAAGCTTTTGGTTTTAGGAAACTGTGAAGGAATATTTAATTCATGTGCTTACATATGGGTTGAACTTTGTTTTCTTGTATAAAGAACTACGTGTGGCTTGATCCCTCAGCAAAAGTACGTAGGCAACCTAGGCTAATCTAGGTGCAGCTGCAAGTTTATGTTTGGTTTGTTATGTTCAGTTTTGTAAAGTTGACTTTGCTGAACGCTTGGGAATATTTAAGTTTGTTGTGCATGTAGATTTCTAGGTTTGAGTCTTTTTTAGGATACCCTGCCGGTTTTCCGGTAGAAGTCAAACCCTAAAGCAGTTTTTGGTTTAAGGCAAGAAAGGTCTTTTGGTCATTCGTGCCCAACACTTGCCAGGTATTGGACACGCACGAGGTTCGACACGGATTTCAAAGTGGAATTTGAGTTGGATCCTGTCATACAAGGCTTGCTTTCATAATCTTAATTTATTTTACTTTTATTTACCTATTATTTGTTTATTTAGTTTTACTTTATCTTAAAAGACTTTCCAATTTGTTTATATATTATTTATATTATAAAGAGTTTTGCGTTTGACTTATACGGAAAAGGAAAATTATAATTTTTATAACAATTCTGTGTAATTTCGTTTTTATATAATTTAGTATTGTTTCAAAATATCGGTTGGTTGTTTTATTTCTTGCATATGAGTTTCCTTGGTATATGAGATAAACATTGTTGTACCTAGTAAGAATTATAGAACACTTAGAAACTCAACTATCTAGTTCTAGCATAGATGTAACTTTTAATTTTAAGGTGGGCTTGAGTTTATATTGCTTTCGGTCTAAGTGAAGAATAGGAGTTTGACAACGTTCTCTTGCTTTAAGATTCTTTTATTTAACCACTCTCCCTACATCACAAATTTTCAATTATTTACGTATTTATTTTGGGAGTTTTAGTAATATACCCAAAATAGGGGCTGAAATTATAAAAAAACCCTACATGAAATGCACTTTAGAAACATACCCAAAAATCATTTACTACAAACAAAATGAGTGTTGAATTTCTTATAAATTACATGACTGCCACAAACTAACTTAAAAGAAGCCCAATACAAAAATCACAAAAAGACCCAAAACAAGCCCACCTCAGACTTTTAAAAAAACCCAAACTTAAGTATTTTATAAAAAAACACGAAAACCAAGGGCATGTCCCCACGACCCTTCATTCTCCATCGAACCTCTGCAAACCATGTCATAAAAGTACATTGTTAATACCATATCATAGAAGTACATTGTTAATACCATTTTATAGAAACATATTGTTAATACCATTTCATAGAAACAAATTGTTAATACCATTTCATAACCAAAAAAAAAAAAAATTGTTAATACCATTTCATACAAAAAGACATTGTTAATACCATTTCATACAAACAGAACATTGTTAATACAATCTCATACAAAAAACTATTGTTAATACCATTTCATACAAAAAAAAACCATTGTTAATACCATTTCATACACACAACAAAATTAATACCATTTTATATAATAAAAAAAAACCAAAAAATCCCAACAAGACATCCGATATCCTTTGAAGAAACCATCTCCAATTGTCTACAGTTTCACCAGATACAATCGCAAAGACAAAAGGAAATACCTCTGCAAAAAAAAAAAGTACACTGTTAATACTATGTCATAGAACTATATTCCTAGTAAAAATCACATTCTGCATTTCATAAACTTCAAGTGCACAATCATATATATAGAGCAAAATATAGAGCATGCTTTGTTACTGAAAATCTGTTAATACTATGTCATAGAAGTACACTGTTAATACCATGTCATAGAAATCAACTCAGTTGCAAGGTATGAACTGTTGTTATACTGTTCATACCAGTCACTGGAAGTTAACAACTACATCATTTCATTTGCATAATCGATACGATAAAAGTGTACAACGTGATACCACTCAAAATCAATTAAATCATTTCATTTGCATAAATAATTGATCCTTCATCACTCCACATACCATAAACATTGAAGAATCTGAAATGTGACACTTAGAATCAGATAATACGCTATCTAACAGCAAATTCTTATATACATTTGTGTATGATAAGTCTGGTAAACTCACAACAGGCAGGATTAGGGGACCAGACGTGGCCAGATAAGTTGTCACCCTCATCCATCATGCTCATGGCACAAGAAGTCTCTGTCATACCATATCCTTCAATTACTTGACAGCCAAAGCACTTGCGATTTTCGTTACATATGCAGCAAAAATTTCATTGGCCTTAACACTTGAGAAAAAAAAATGAACAAATTATTAAATTGCATTCTATAAGATATAGCCAACTTACACTCTAAGGAAGTCCATGACATCAGGGGACAAGGGTGAAGCACCGAATCCCATAAAACGAACTCGACCTCCAAGCTTTTCCTTTATTTTGTTGAACACCAATCTGTCCCATATTGGTGATCCATTCGAACCTGAAAGAATTGTTTAACATAGAGAAATTTAACAACAGCATGACTTAAGTAATAGCCTATGAGAAGGTGAAGTTATTAGTGTATATTACCACTCATTATGGATTGCTTCTTGGAACTGTAGGCAGTTTGAAACAGTCTCTCCCTTAGAGTCCTAGATGTTTTAACAGAATTTACAATTATGTGATGGACTGAATTAGATATGACATGGAGACCACATGAACAATAATAAACAATACTTTTAAGCAGCAGCCAACACTTGTATGCATCATTTCTCATTTATTGCATCTTCTTCTATCAGATCTATAACCATATGAAAAGACCAGTGTGGCTATTAAAGAACAAACAGGTAAAACAAGGAATGACACCAATGAGATAGAAAGAAACATATTATACCACGACCACAACCAAAGTAGAAGTCGCACTCCCATCCAGATTCTGCGCGATAAGTGCTCCCAGTTGCAACTGATAAGCAAGCATTCAGTTCAGCTACCATTAGTACAAACTCTACAGCCACATGTACCTAAGATAAGATCTACAACAATGTATTTCTTCAATATGAAAACTAGCCAGCATGGTGCAAGAGAAGTTAGGGAAACCTTGATGATCTGGTGAATCCCGTAGGTCCCAAGAGTCATATGGTGAACTCCATAGATCCCAAGCCATGAATTTCAAAGGCATATATATATATAATATCCTGAAATGCAAATACGACGAAGTCATGATTCTATGACCAAGACATTAGAGCACAAAGATAGTTAAGTTCAAATGTTATAACTTGAAAGAGAGCTCAACCTTAGGCTCAGAATATCATGTCAACCAAGTCCAATTATCCAGCAACTTATTTTATGAAAATGGAACCCAAATCGTAATCAACAGTACACCACTAGAAGTTTAATGAATAATGTAGGCCTCAGTGTTACGACCGTCGAGGTTCTGGTCGTTCATGCCTTCGATTGCGTACCTCATGGCCTTCTCGTTGCTGAAGGTGACGAACCCGAAGCCGAAGCCCCTGGACCTCCCGATCTCACGGTCGTTGATGATCTGGAAACACAAAAAGAAACCAAATCAAATCAGATCCGTCCATCAAAACCAAAACGTCAGAGTATAATCAAACAAATACACAATAATAAATAAAAATGAAAAGGAATCGATCGATCTTCAATCTTTGGGAGAGAAAGATCAAGTAACATAGAGAAACAGAAGATCAAGTAGCAGAGAGAGAACATGCGTCAAACGGCCCTTCGATTCGATGATCTCACCGAACGGAGAAAAGGCCCTCTCCAGCGCATCATTGTCGGTGGCCCAGGCGAGCCCTCCGACGAAGCTTAGAATGATGAGGTTGAACAAAAACTGAGGTGGAAGAACAAAAATTGAAAATTGGGGTTGAAGATGAAGATGAGAGACTGGAGGTCGTGAAATGAGTTCTGATCGGGTGTTGATTAGAATTCCAATTTTATGTTAAAAAGGGTAATAAAGGAATTTCATCTTAATAATTAAATTAAAAAATATACAGCTGTTGATTTTTGGGTTTATTTTGGGTGTGTTTATATACATTAAATAGTATAGGGTATTTTTATAATTTTATGTCTAGGAATGGGTATTTAACTAAATTTCTAATTTATTTTCTAGTTAACACGGGGAAGTCAAATGCTAAAATTCAGTCACACATCAACACAGGAATAAGAAATCTAATTTATGGTAGTTTCAATCTTTGGTCAGTTTGGCATTGATGTGTTGTGAAAATAATCGTTGTTAGATTTGTTGTGAGAGAAAGCAGTTTGGCGTTTGGTAAACTTTTTGTTAAAAATGTTGTTGGTACTGATTCCCGCATAATCATTAAACCCAACGACTCTTTGAAATTGATTCCTGCATAATCATAAAATGAAAGTACCTCATAGGTGCTTTCCCTTATAGCTTTCTCTCACAACAATTTTTAACAACAAGTGATATTTTCATAGTTTACCAAACGGACTGTGCTGCCCAAATTTTTTTTAAAATAACTTATCACCCCAAATAAGCAATGTCAAACGGGCACTAAATATCAAAATATCAGTTAATTGAAAAGGAAAAAAAAAGGACCTAACCCTATCGATTATGGGACCAGACCATATTGCATTTGTGCGTGTCGATTTGAGCTTTACAAAGATGCTGCTACTATAATTCACTTGCATTTTGGTTAACAGACAATTAAAATTTCCTTTTTATGAAGACAAATTTGATTTGAATTCAATTGTTGCATTTTCGCAAATTTTTGTAGTATACTATTTATTTTGGTTACAAATTCTTGAAAGAAAAAAAAAACTTGCAAACAGTTCTTTTGTAGTTTAATTGTTTTGAATTCAAAATCTAATATTAGTTCAACTTTAGTTTTGGCCTATTTTGTATTCAATTGCTATATTATTTTTTTATTTATTATTTATAGCTATTAATTTTGCAAAACGGGCCGAGAGTTTATGTGATATTATTGCAAGTTTTATTGAGCCTAATTATTCTTTATTTTGCTGGCTGTTATTGCTTTGAATTTGGCAGAAAAAGGTACAGTTTTTGTAGTATACATGCAGTAGTTTAACACCTTGGTCTGACTCTGATTTGGGAGGCAATCCACTACTATAAAAGCCTTAACTAGTTGGCTGGAAAAGGGAGAGCAGCATATTCCGAGAAATGTTTTATTATTATTATAATAATAATTATTATTTTTATTTTTATTATTTTGTCCAGCCACATTTTTTTTTCATGGGAAAGGTTCAAGTGTTCACAGGATACGAGCAATGCAAATGTACGCTTACAAGGGCCACAAGTTGTTATATCTTGAAGAGTAAGGCTGCCATACAACCTCGCTACATCGAGACATTATCTCTTTGGGGCGAAATCCCAAAAGATTCTTTCATAGGGATGTCACAAGAATGATTGGCATTGCCAGATAAGTTTTTCCATTTGTTTTGTTTGAGAACTGGGTTTTCAAGGTAACATGTTTTATACAAAGTATTATCTTGTTGACTCATCTGGTGATAAATTCGCATATACATTACTGATTTATTGATTTGAGTTTTCCAATAGTACACCTAAGTGCCTGTTTGACATTGCTTATTTGGAGTGATAAGTGATGTTTTAAAAAATTTGGAAAGCCCAGCTCGTTTGGTAAATTATAAGAAAATCACTTATTGTTAAAAATTAAAGTGAAAAAAATCTATAAGGGAAAGTAGCTAATAAGGTGCTTTCATTTTCTAATTATGTGGGAATTAGTTTCGAAGAGGCACTAGGTTTAATGAAATTTACAAACGTCCGAAAATACCCCAATCTATTTCACGCAATCTTTTCTCTTCGTGTGTTTTCTCCTTCGCATCCCTTTGCTTCTTCATGCCATCTCTTTCACTGAGTTCTCCTTCTCTTGAATCTCTTCTATTCTTCTTATTAATTTTTTCTTGTTGAATCAATTGAAGTACACTCCTGAGAAGCCACAAGACTCAAGTAAGAGGCATATTATGTTTATTTCTTCTCAATTTCATTCTTCCCACTTTCTCTTTAATTTTTAGGGTTTTAACTATAAATTTCATTTTTCACTCTCTCTTTAATTTCTAGGGTTTTAACTTCAATAGTTGTTGCTGTTAGTTTTTATTTATTTATTTATTTTTCTATTCCTGTTTTTGTTTCTTTGTTTCTTTGACAGAATATTGATTTTTAATGGAATATATTGGATTTAAGTTGAAACATTAGTGTAGAGCATTTGGGTACAAATATTTAATTTTCAACATAATAATTTATTTATTTTATAATTAAAATAATTTTTAGGATGTGATGGAAACATATTTAATACCAATATATATATATATAAGTGAAAGTGAAAGTGCTTTCCCTTTTATCAAACACTTTAATAGAAAAGTCATTTCAACATAATGCCTTTTTTAGTCATTATACACAGCTCACAGCACTTTCATAAAATAAAAAAAAATTACCAAACACTAAGAAACTAATTATTGTACAAACAACACTTTTGACAAAAAGTTTACCAAACACCAAACTGTTTTCTCTCACAGCAAATCTGACAGCGATTATTTTCACAGTACAGCAATGCCAAATTGGCCCTAAGACTTTAGGGGCAGTTAAGTAACGTTTTCAAGGTCCAGTTTTCATTTTCTATCAAAAACGTGTTCGGTATGTCATTTTCATTTTCATTGGAATTCATTTTCTGAAAACAAATTCAAACTCATGTAAAAAAATGAAAACACCAAATTATCGTTTTCATTTTCTATCTAGTGTATTGGTTGATTGCATTTTTTTTTCTTTTTTTTTTGTTTGTCTGATTTTTCATTTGTCATTTAGTTTTTCAATTTTCAGTTTTTTCATTGCACTTCATTATTTTATGTTGTTACACGAGTGTATATTAATTTTATGATAAAACCATCATATATTATTCAATTTCATATTTATTTTAAATTAAAGATAATATAATTTTATTATCTAGGTTTTTCTAACATTAGAACTTTTATTTATTTTAATAATACATTATTATTCTCAAATTATACATTTTTCATTGTTTATAATAAGTTAAGCCTTTAAAAAAAATATAATAATTTTATAAAAAAATATTTTTTAGGATAGAAATTCGCAAAAAATATACTTGAAAAATGACTCACATATTATTATTATCAAATTTTCCTACCATACACGTTTTCACTATTTTTATTTTTTGAATTTGTTTTCCAATATATCTACTAGAAGCATTCTCGAATCCTGAAAATGAAAATTCATTTTCTCGTTTTCATTCTCAGAAAATATTCTCCGAAAACATTACCAAATGGGTCCTTAATGATTTGCTATTTTGGGATTGGGTGTACATTTTGCCGGTTTGGCATTGTTTCCGTTTTCTTTTACACTCTGCTTTGGGGTTCAATTAAGTAATAATCATGAAAAGTAAGTAATATAACACCTAATAACCTGACCAATATGAAAAGCATTTTTGGCCTTTAATTATTGTTGGTTGCTATTTTGACATGCATGTTTAAATCATGAATTCTTTGTTTATCATTTTTTTTCTTGGATTCCTTCATAATGCATACGAATGCTAATAATTTGTTTGTCCTATTTAATGTGCTGGTAATTTATGAATGTGGACAAATACAATAGTGTTGGGTATATTTTTTAATCATTTTTTTTGTTCTCAGAATGTGAATCCTTTGAGGCATTATTGGCAATCTTATGAAATATACACCCTTTCCTCAATTAGTGGGGTTGATGACCCTTTATTATTATTATTATTATTATTATTATTGTGAGGTCATCGTCTTAAGATCCTTTTATTATTATTATTATTATTATTATTATTATTATTATTATTTTGTGGTCAACATTGGAAACATAATGGATTTTCTTTAAATATTTTAAAATGTGAGGTGCTTATGTGTGAAGTTTTCTTATATTATGAAATTGTATTATGAGACTAATTTGTCTTCATTTTTTGATATGAAAGTGTGTGCAACAAATGATGATCTAGGTATAGAATTTTGGTGGAGACTTCTTATTGTCTTAAAGGGTCATATTGCCAATCGAGAGGATACAGTGATAACTTGGATATGCGACCATAATTTCAACCACTTGGAGTACACAAAAGGAAGTAAGAGTATCTTGAAATACTCAGTATTTATAGTTAAATTTATTTAATGAATTAAGCGTTATATTGTTGTTTATAAGTGTCAGCAGGTGTACTCAAAGTTTCATGGACCCTTAGAAACTCATATTTAGATACTAAAGAATTGAGAGGTACTTTTGATCATAAGATTTGATGTATGATATATTTCCGATATACTTTAATTTATACCGATGCGTATGTGATTTCCAATTATATTGAAATAAAATCCACTAATCATTTGTGTGCAAGATTTTGTAGGAAATATTTCTAATAACATGCAGGTTTAGGATGCGCTAAAGTGGAGAACAGAGACATGACTCACATTATATATGCCTTATGAAGGCTAGTCATGAAATGCATGCCTCGTGGAGAAGGCTACTAATGCAAAATGTCAAGGGGGGTAAGCTCATAAGGGAGTCACCTGGGCAGGTAAACCAACTTCTTTGATTGGCAATCTTATGAAGGAAGTTCAATGCGATAGAAACAATCCATACTGCGTGACTCATATAGCACTCATAAAACTATGGAGATATCCTTGAGATATTCTTTTGCTCATCCCTAAGGCAAAAGTGTTATTTTATGTGGCGTTAGAAAGAGATTTATCCCTGAATGAGTTTCGAGGAGGCCAATCTCCCACTTGGTGCAAGTCACATGTACTCTTGGAGAATTCACCTAAGTGAGAGATGTCGTGAGGTCGTGACTGTGAGAATTGAGCTATTCTCTAGTAACTCTCATGAGAATCAAGAATAGCGCATGGCCATAAATAGCGCTACCCCACATCCAAGTCTCAACCAATACTATGTGTGGGATATGTTGAAGTTTGGTCAAAGGTGCCAAGTTCAAGACTTTGTACACTTAGGTTCCTCTGGATACCATCATCACTAAGTGAAGGTTCAAGCCTGGAAGACACCTACACCTATTGCATAGTATTATGTTGCCCATATATAAATATATATATTTTCACTATTTTTTGTCATGGTAAAATTTTGAAAATCTTGTGGGGGATTGTTGGAATTTTAAAAGGTTTTAAAAATTTTACTGTTTTGATTTATTTAATTATTTTGGTTGTTTTATTTTATTTATTGTGGAGTATATAAATATTTAATTTTAAGGTTATATTCTATATTGAATGCCTTAATTTTCTAGTTTAATGTGGTGAATGTTACATGTTCTTGGATGCCTATAAAAGGCCACTCTTCCTTCACATTTGACATACGACCACATAACACAAATACTAATACAACACCATACTACCACAATACCACATACCACATACCACATACCACAATCACCACCACAATTTGTTTCTCTCCTCTTCCACCTTTTATACTCTATATACCTATATTATTATTTTTGGGCAACGGTTCTGTGACTTGGAGACCTATATCCAACTGTGAACGTGCTCATAGCGGACCTTGAGCTTGTGTATTGGTGATCGTATATTGGAGTCTTGTAGACACCTGCACGTATGGAGGCTACAAAGGCTTTAGGACAATGTCTTTGACGTGCTTCACAATACCAGGCTTGCTTTCATAATCTTAATTTCTTTTACTTTTATTTACCTATTATTTATTTATTTAGTTCTATTTTACTTTAAAAGAATTTCCAATTTGTTTTATATATTACTTATATTATAAAGGGTTTGCGTTTGGCTTATACGGAAAGAGGAAAACTATAATTAGGATTTACATTAAGCCCTATAATTGATATGTATTGAGTTCATTTCTGTGCGGGACACATTGAGAAAATTTCACTTCTACTTAATTTTATTTAGTTTGCACTCGATTTATTGACATGGTTAGTTGTTTGTGGTGCAGAATCGCCATTTAGAACCCAGAGTTTAGGTTTTCAGTCTCGAATTAGTAAATCGCTTAGATTTTAGATTTTAAATATCAAATTTTGGGGTGGTAGTACGTTATCATCTAGGGCATTTAGTAAGAGCAATGACAAAACATGTGGTGGGTGCAGGGGCGGACCGACGTTGGGACAAGAGGGGTCATACGCCCCCTTGGAAGGCTGGAAATTTGGGAAGGGAATCCATGAAAGCCCCCTTGGACTGCTAGTAGAAGCCCCCTTGTATGCACACCAACTGCTTGATGGAAGTCCCAGGCGAAACCTCCTCTGCTGCTGCGCAGCTGGGCTGCGCGTCATTTTTTTTTTCAAAATGAGCCTTGCCAAACGACGTCGTTTGGTCCAGGCTCAGTCAAATTTTTTTAATTGACCTGGCCTCAAAACGACGTCGTTTTGGGCCAGGTTTTTTATATAAAAAAAAGGAACAGCAGCTCTCTTACCCGATCCCTCTGCTGCACAGCACCTCTCCAAACCCTTCATTCCCCCAATTTCACAGCTCCAAGTCCAACCCTATCAAACCCTCACATTAGACAATGTTGGAATGTTGGAAAGGAGGTCCTTGGCCATGCTTCGAAAGTGGTGCTTACAAAGGATACCTCCACGATTGTTGGTGATGGAAGTACCCAGGAAGCTGTTAACAAGCGAGTTGCCCAAATTAAGAACCTTATTGAGGTGAAACCCTCTTTCTCACCTTCACATCCACAATTGCTTACAGAAGTTGTTTGTAATTCTTTGTTGTCATAGTCTTATAGCCTTAATAAGTTAAACTATATATGCAGGCGGCAGAGCAGGACTATGAAAGAGAAAAACTTAATGAAAGGATTGCAAAACTATCCGGTGGTGTTGCTGTAATTCAGGTTGGTTTCTAAATACTTGTAGATGATTTGGATTACAATGTAGTACCAATGGGAATTCATTTGTATTAACTTTTTCTTGAATGTTCAAAGGTTGGAGCACAAACTGAGACAGAGCTGAAAGAAAAGAAACTGAGAGTCGAAGATGCTCTGAATGCAACAAAGGTAAAACAATTCACAACACTCAATCTTTGTAAATTATATCCCTGTTAAGTTTTGTTTCATCTGGTCTTTTGCACATTAAAGAAACCAGCAGAAATTTTAAAAAATTGTAATTGTCCAGGCAGTTGTTGAGGAAGGTATTGTTGTTGGAGGTGGATGCACCCTTCTGAGGTTGGCATCAAAGGTTGATGCAATCAAGGATACTCTTGATAATGATGAAGAAAAGGTAACTTATCTATTGCTTATTGAACTCCCTCAATCTTCTGAGTTTTGTCAACAGAAGATTCTGACAATGGCAGAAATTTTATTGATTATTGGATATGCAGGATAGAGTTTTTTTCCCACTACAAGCAATCAAGTTGGAGCATGCAAAATCAGGGGGAGCATTCAAGAGTCCTCTAACACAGGACATAAGCGCGTTGTACTCTTTTTCCTTCGACTAGGGTTTTTCCCACTGGGTTTTTCCTAGCAAGGTTTTAACGAGGCAACATGTGCGCACTTCACATTACTCTAATGTCCCAAGTAAGGTTGTACTCTTTTTCCTTCGCTTCGGTTTTTTCCCACTGGGTTTTTCCAGGCAAGGTTTTAATGAGGCAACTAATCTAGGGATATGTGGTCTCCAAGGGGGAGTGTTATAAATAGTGGAAGTGGAGCCCACAATCAATTATGAAGTTTGAAAATGAGGCAAAAATTTCACTGTACACTCACGGATGAAAGTGATGGTTTGAAATTGAGGCAGAAACTTTGCACTGTACACTCACGAGAAAACTTCAGAAGCGCCTATAAATAGGCCTGTTCGTTCATTTGTAATATATACCATCAGAAGAGAAGAAAGAAAAGGAGAGTGAGATTTGAATACTATTGAGTGAGTTTCTATTTGAGAGGAAATTCAATCTGTGCAAACGCCACAAGAAAAGATATAATTCCACTATCATTTTTCAGTGGTAATTCCATACTCTAATTATTTTATTTTATAACACGCACAATAATTATATTACAACCTGAGCTTTTGAAGGTAAAATGCTCCATATTTTGTGTTTGTTTGACTAATTGCATTAGAATGTCCCCAACGCAGTCCAGATTATTTCACTGAAAGCGCAGTATGGCTCCTTTAGGACAACGAAACAAGCCCGTCTGTTGCTTATTACACAAGACATTACCAGCAGCAAGGGTGTTTGACTGTTTGGCTGTTTGGCTGTTTGGCTTGCACGATGTGTTTATTCTTTCAGACTGAAAGCTCCATAAAAGAAATGACAGATTTATGCCTGATAGAGGTGGTAGGGTATAACAAAGAGTTAGAAGACTCCGGTGACAAGGCATAAAGCAACGGAGAGTTGCATAAAAGTATAATTCCTGGGCACGAACACTACAAAGAAGCGATAACAAGTATTTTGAATCACAAAGAGGTGCTAAAATGTCAAAAAAGATGCACGCAAACTTGCTCAAGGAAAATAATAATAGTAATAATAATAATTTTCCAAACAAACCTCAAGAGCTATTGTCCATTACTTTCCGAAAGAGTTCCTTTGGGGCTGCAAATTACAGTTCAAAGAAGAAAATAGCCAATAAGAATTAATGCCACGTTGATAGAATGTAAATTTTGTATTAAATTGAAACTATATTAACAAGTGATATAGGTTAATCTTACCAGGCAATCCAGTGAACCTCTCAAACTGTTCATATGCCTGTCCAATGAACATTTCCAACCCACTAACAACTATGGCCCCCGACGCTTCAGCATCCTTCAAGAGTCTGGTCATTTTGGGGGTGTAAACAGCATCAAAAACCAACGAGTAAGATCTCAGAGCGTGCTGCCAAAACAGAAAGCCAATGAAATCTACTGCCTTTGAAAGTGACAGCAAGTTGATGAATCACTAAATAGCATTTGATCAACTTTGTGAAACATGAAACAACAATAGAATATGGTGTAAGTTGGTTTCATAGCTAGAGGTCTGAGGTTCGATCTTCAAAGACTATTATTGATGCATGGGTTTTCCAGGTAATTTTGTCCAGGAAAAAAAAACACTTGAATCTGGTAAAAACCCAAGGACCTAACTAACCAGTTTCCTTAGTTTTAATCTATCGAGGTTGCCCCCTTAATTTCATCATATGGTAATGAATAATTAAAGGAATTAATGATTTTTTCCACATATAGTTTTGCTCTTGGGTGGCCTTTAATCATTTAACTCAAAACCTAAAGGGGCGGTATTGGTTTTTTTTTTTTCCAGGTCAATGGCTTAATGAGATCAGGTAAACAAGAACCTACCTCTTAAGCTTCTAGTGTGGAACAACGATGATATCCAGATAAGGGTCAAGTATGTTAACGAAGATATTAAGAAAGGGAGCCCAACAAACTTTTTTGTTAGGAAACAAAATCAATATATAAAAATACAAACTGAAAGGCGCAATCAAAGTAGACCAGTGGTCCAGAGAAGACAATCATTACTCAACATAAGATATAACAAACTTAACATAAAGATGCACAAAACACACCAACTGAAACAAAACAAAAAAATAGTAAAAATCTGGCCCCTACAAACAAATAGCATCGAGATTAAAGGTGACATCAAGAGAGAAATACCACAATTGAAACAGAGTTAAGACAGCTGAGTGCGGCTGCAAGAGTACTTCAAGGTCTAGATTAGGATTAGAAGACCGAACTAGGATAAGTTTCTTGACCAAGACATAGAGGTAGGTTAGGTCTACAGGGTCTGGGATAATCCACAATATTTTAGAACATGTCTAGGACCCTTGGAGAAAAATTAGAACTCAAGTAGACAGATAGAAGTAGGAAAATCAGAACACAGAAAACTGATTAGAATGACATTCTTATCATCCAGAAGGTATTTTGGTTGACTGGGCCATTGGCTGGTTGTCAGCATCAGCTAAGACAACCTACTGGTCGAACAGAGGTCTCCAATAAAAGACACAAAGAATCTCGATGTACCAACCAATCATTGTGGTTGACCAGTAACTTACCTCAGTCGATCAATCCTTGGGGTTTATCTGTACCCCTGTTGACCAATCCTTTAGAAAACTCAAAATTTGAAGTACTGAAAAAAAGCCGTTGCATGCTTTTTCAAATACACCTTGCATCTTACAAAAGAAGGGTGAAACCCAAAGCTTAACAAAGGCTCTGGATAGGTGAAGGGGTGATACTCCTCCTTTGTCAATGTGGCAATAGAGAGTTTTTTTCTCAGTATTAGTGCAGTGGATGTTTGTGAGTCTGCTCACCTCTTCATTGGTGAAAGAGATCACAGGTAAGCTTCACATCTCTAATCTTTGTTCTGTTTCTATTGCTTGTGGATCGTGATTAACTTGCCATTTTTGTGTATAAGGATAGTAGGCACTGATACTCGACTTACATAGCTCAATATAGTTCACACACTACACATTTGATCCTTATTAAATAATAAACATACACTTCTAGGTATGAGTGAATATGTTGACGAAGACTTATTTGTATGCGATTAAATGTGTGGGTTTCCTAACTTCGGTTTGTCATAAAATTGTTAACGGAGGAGATAGTAAAATTTAGAATTTTAGGTATGGCAAATTTCATTAATCGTAGAAATGCTAAAACTGTGATACTCCAGATTGGGCTAGCACGTGTTAAATCCCATTTTGGTTCTGTACTAGGTAGATCTGGCTATATAAACGATTGCAGGGAGCCTCATTGGTAACTAGTCCTTTTAGGGTATATCACTGAAGTGGTGTATGCTTTTCTAGGTCGATATGGGTTATGTACGCGATTGCAGGGAGTCTCATTAGTAACTAGTACTTTTGGGATAAAGAGGCGTGAACTTCCCTAGGTCATGACATGAACATAGGGGGTCATAAAATCCAAATGGAGGGTGAAGTACGTTAACAAATATATAAAGAAAATGGGGCAGAGACTCAAAAGCACCAAGACTAGAGACAATGAATCACAGCATTGAGTTACGCATCTTTGTTTATAAGCACACACTACGCTTGACACACATAGCTTAGGATTGGAATTTGGTTTCGAGGAACCTATAGATCTCAAAGTCATAACGTGCCTTAAATTGATAATGCTTAGAAGTTAGAGAAATTTGACAGTGGACCAATCTTGAAAGTTGTCCATTAGGATTGCCAGGGTTTTAGGTTAACCCAAACAAAAAAACCCCAATTTTTATTGGAGTTATTTGATTCCGGCTAAACAGTTCTGGCATTAATGCAGGTCGGCAGCCATTTCAGTATTTGGTTTTTTACTTGCAGATAGAAGGAAAATATATGGGAGAAAGAATAAAAGAGGGAGGAGAAGGGAGGAAGGAGAAAATCTAGTGGAACACAACAGAAAACGAAAACTAAAAACAAGTTCAAAAAGTTTTTTTTGTTTTTCAAGTTTTGTTTCATACGATCTTTCGTTTCTCCATCCTCCCTCCCTCCTCTCTTCTTTCTCCTTCCTTTCTCCCTCAATTCTCCCATATGTTGTTCTCTATCTTTAGCTAAAAAGTGAGAACTACATGGTTACCAAAGGAGACGTTAGTGTTCAAGTGTTCGTGAATTGTGGTTTATGCAGTTTGAAAGATATGTTGTATTCACCAAATTTTCACAAAATATCTTCAGGTTACATGGTGATAAGCTGAGCCATGTATGTGTCAAATCTGAATGCACTACTATTTCATATTTCAACTCCTTGGAGATGCATTTTTAGCCCCTTTTCTCCATATACGCTAGATATCCCCATACATTACGGTACCAGCATACCACCAACAATGCATAGTCAGAAATCCTCAATCACATTAATCCAAATTATTCTTAGGCATCTTCATGTTAGCTATACTTTCTACCACATTCTACCCTGGCATTGGTTGCAAACGATAAAATCATCTGAAGTAACTTTCTTTCATCTATTTAACAAATTGTGCTAACTCTATCCTTTCAAAGTTGTGTTGAGTTCTTATTTCTATTGGCCAGTTCACCAATAATCTCACTATGTTATTTACGAAGATACCTAAAAGTTTGTCAAGTTAAAAGAATGTTGAATTTAGAATGCTAGGTGTTGCACACAAGTGTGTTACAATGAAAAACTTCACAAAAAGATAACATTTTAAGAAAATTTCATTTAAGTTGGTAGAACTAAAAAGAATTAATGCATTCATATGGCTGTCCTCATTTTTCTGAATATAACAATTATAACGATCATATGCAAATTCAAATATATCAAATATTTTAATACAAGGCCAGCCGATGATTTATAATTCAGCACAATGGGAGGGCGCCAAACCTTAGAAATGGGCGTCTCATCAACTTTTGGTTGCATTCCAATAGATGTTGTGTTTGCAAGAATCATGCCCTCCTCTGGGTGGAAATTATCTAAATCAGCAAGAGACAAAGCATCTCCTCCAATTGTGTCTGCAAGTTCTCTGGCTCGATCTTGAACAAAATAAAAATCAACCATAAGAACACAAAATCACAGTGATTTCCTTTTTGAATGGGAAAATGGAAGTGGAGAATACTGAAAAAAAGATAAACAAGGTTTGTAGCTAACATGCTATACAAAGGTTGCACAAAATGTCAAGCAAAGATTTGAGGTGCAGCACACTCCATTTTTAGAACATCATAAAGGGCATAATAGAGCATAGTACAAACTACAATAAAGCACACTTCAAAGGTTGCACAAAGCTTTGAATCTCATAATTTTGATGTAAAAGTAGTTTATAGATTTCTCAGAACATAGGAAAGGATACAGGTTGAATCGGATCCATGGTATCAAATTTTTTTCAATATGTGCACTTAGTTCAAAAAGATTGGTCATATCAAACATCTGACACAATCTTCTCAACAGTTATCAATGCATAAAATTAAAGCAAAATGCTCCATATGATACCAGAGACCTGCATAAATAAAGACATTCATCCAGCAAATCAATCAAATCTTCTTACAATTCTAAATAGCCCTATAAAATGCCAACCTGACTCTGACATCAGCGCAATTCTCGCAAAAAAGAAACCTTTGTACCCAGAGGAACGCACTGTAGCATTCCCACCCTATATGAAAGAAATGTACACCACGGGCAATCACCTAAGCTCCAAAGGCCTTACCAACACTACCATTCCAAAAGCAAGCATTGAGTTCTGTCCTAAATAACCCTACTAGGAAAAACATATTGATGCACTCAACCAAAATCCCATAATAAGTCCAACTAGGTTATGACATTATGCCAACGAGAAAGGGCAAAGAATAATTACTAAGAGTGGTAAAGCCTAAGGGTTTAACATTATGAAAACGAACAATGAGGATATTTCAAACAACAAAATCATCAAAGTGAAATTAATCAAAGAGATTACTCAAATGCAGGTTGGAGACACATAAAACGATACTACTTAAGGAAAATGAGACAATTGAAATGGTGGCAAATCTCAATTAGAAAGGATCTCTATCTTCTGCAATAGAGTAATTCACCAAAATCCACCCTGAACTTGTATCATACTTTCAATTTATCCTTAATTGCATTTTCCAAATAAATGATTCTGCCCTTCAATCATATTTACTTATAATCTATTTTTTTAATTAATAAAAAAATAAAGAAACGGGTGCTGAGATGATGAATAAGTGGATATTTTACTATTCTGATCAGCCATTTGAAAGAACACCAAAAAAAAAAAAAGAAGCAATAATTGTTAATGAAATGGTGTGAAAGGATGGATGAAAACAAATAGTTTATGAACTAATAAAAGAAAGAAAGAAAAGCTCGAACTGAACCATAAGTGCGGTTAGCAATTGCAATCCTTGCTCCCTTCTGTTTTGCACCATAAGCAAGCGCCTTGCCAGCACCTCCAGCACCAATAACAACAAACAGCCTACCAGCTAAAGGTGAACCAGTAATACTGCCACTTTTATTTGAACCTGTAGAAAAGAAGAGTTGGACCCAGAACACCTTACAGAAAGATTCTTGCCAGCATAAAGAAAGATGAAAACTTAGCTAGTACAACATGATCAAACCTGTCAGTCCATCCTCAATAGCAGAAATAGCCCCAACATAGTCCGTATTGAACCCAAATAACTTCCCATCAGTTGGTCTCCTTATAATGCAATTAATAGCTCCTATTGACTGAATATTGATCACCATAAAAAAAAACAATTATCAAAAAGTATGACTGAAAAAAAAGAAGACATGTATTAGTCTGACTCAAAGGTAAGCCAAGTATTCAGGTGAAGAATGCCAGCATCGTAACATGAATGGTTTCTTCAGTACCTTTGCAACTGGATCAACTTCATCACAGCACTTAAGTGCAGCTTCCTTGTGGGGAATTGTAATGCTGTTTTAGAAATGAAGACTACAAGCTGTGATCATGATGTAAAAAGAGCACGAAAAAACTGTATATAGATACTACAATTTCTATTTGACACTAAGAATGAGCAATAGAAAAATGAACCTGAATCCAGCAAAATCCATTGAAGAGTAAGTCTGGAGAAACTTTGCAATGTCATCTACCAACAAATGTACATAAACTCCATTGAAACCTACTGACTTGAATCCTTCATTGTACAGAAAAGGTGATTTGCTGTGGCTGACAGGCTTTCCAATAATGCCAAACACTTTTGTGTCAGGCCCTATCTGTGCAAAATTGTATAGATGTAATATATCCTTCATAGTGGGTTGACCAGGAGCTGAAACTATTCCCGAGTCAAGCGTACCAAAAGTAAGATAACCACCAAATTTTGCGCAAAGTATCCGTGAAATCAAACCCCTCTCACCCATTACAAGTCCTATTGTTGGGACCTGAAATTCCATGAAGGAGTCAATTTCTTCTTATCATATGAAGAATAAAAATGCAACGACTCAAGGAGAAGACATTTCATGCAGGCACACATGTGTGCGCCCACAGATGAAGAGAGACAGAGTAATGCAAGTCTCTTTGCATCCTGTTCTCCTACCCTGCATGAGAGTAAGAGTCACTCTTTCTCTTCATCAATTCATGAGAAGATCAGTTCTCAAACCAGAGCTGTAATCTGCCAACATTCATTCCCTGAATGAACCCCAATTATTTGATTAGAAGGCTTTACTTATTATCATATTAATCATTTAAACAAACGGAAATGCCAGTGATATTCACATAGTATTAAGGTGGCCCGGAACACGAGGCTCACACTATTGTAGAGTCTAGAAAAGGTCAGATGTAAATACCCTTATCCCCACTTGAGGGAAGGTTGTCCCCGATTTTAAACCCGTAGCCTCCAAACTGCAACGGAGTAACTTATTGTTGTGCCAAGGCACAACTCATGTTTACAGAGTGTAACTAGTAGCAGAAATCATAAAAAATGCACACCTTAGTCAAACATACATATGTGCATAGATATGTTCTATGTATACAGTCGATTACAAAATGCATCAACTTCATCTCCTAAATATTGGCATTATAAAATGGTAACTACAAAAACACAGATTAAAATTCAGCTTGGCATGGATAGAAACTGTGGGCAAAGATTTAAAAGTACAATGCAAGAGCATACCACCTAAGGTGCTTACTTGAGAATGCACAGTTATTTGAAAAATGCGTGCTACATCAGTGATATCCAAGGCAGTGGTTGCAATCTTCACTATGTCAGCTCCAGTGGCTTGTATTCTTGCAACAAGATTTCCAAGAGCCTCAACAGATGGAGTATGTTGATAGTTGTGAGAAGAGACAATAACTTTAAACTTTTCAGGCTTCTTTCCATATATGGAGTCGATGAATTCATGAGCAACCTTCAAGGAAAGGTAATAACATTTTTAAAAGGTAATTCAGGTTTAAGCCTTTGGGGTTAGCCCAAGTGGTGTGGGAGGAGGGTGGGAAAAAGGGTTAGGTCAAGGATTTGATCTCTTCCAGTATAACCAAAAGACAAAAAAAGGTAATTCAGGTTTTACAATCCCAGTGTGACAAATTTAAAATGGAAAAGGAAAGAAAAATATCATTTGAACGTCTTTGTCATGATGGCAACAGTAAGAATATTAAGCATAAAAGAATAAATGTATTCATAGGCTTCTTCATCAATACTGCAATGCACAAGTTTTAGAGTTCTAATAACACATCTGGCAATCAATAATAAGCTCTTGAAAAAAATTTCACTAGTTTGGACTTGGGAGGAATAAAACGCTATCGCTTTCCTTTTGTTTCTGTATTAATTTTTTCATCCATGAGATGTGATCAATTTTTTTTGTTCAAGTGCTTGTTCAATAGGGAAAAATTGATGTTTTTCACCTGCATGTAAATTTTTGGATCATCCTAACAAACAAAGAAACAAAAAACTTAAAAAATTAAAAACAAAAAGGAAAAAGAAAGTCCTTGATAAGTTCTCGTTATAATCACAGAATCTAGCATCCATGAAGGACGAGACGGAAGAGATCATGTTACACATCTTATGATTCCATCATGCCAAACAACAGAAACGTTTTATAGTTATACATTTATAAGAGAGGAACCTGAAGCTCGACATCAATGTAATCAGCTCCAAGCTCCATCACTAATCGAAGTGCATCAAGTCGATCTTTTTCATCACCATCATACTGACCACCTTCCCATTTTGGTCTACAAAATACACAATATGATATATGACCTTGCTGGCAGATTATTAGGGTGATCACAGTACAAAATTGTTAATGATCAGCAAAGAAACACATGGCTAGATATAAGGCAATGTCAAGTACTTTTGCGAAACGGGTAATGGGCACATCAAGCTTCACACAGAGTTTTAATTGTTTGTTATTTTAATTTCTTTTGGATAAATTCTGATTGTCCCCAAATTGATCTATATGCATATGATACATGTGCCTATGACTAATTCATCAGTCATAGGCCAATCGCACTCTTTCCTGATCCGGAAGTCGGTTTTACATTAGAATACTAATTAAACATGAAACATCCATTACTGATCAGTTTTTTCAACTAATTTTGAACCGGACTTATCATTGCTTCACTTTCACACTTCTTGATCATAATAAGTTAATAACTTGTTGTATTTTAACAATTCTTTGGTTCTGGTGCACTACTTGAATCCACCCAATAGAACCAATTCAAATTCCTAACATGCTAATACTACTACAACAACAGAATTGAAAAGCACCTATCATAAAACAAGCTTGATCATATAAGAAATCTTCGGTAAAATACCTATATGTGAAAAGAGTGGGCAAAGGGGATTCTTTAATAAGGGTCTTGAGATCAACATTGTCGAAGGCCTTCAAATGATCCAATCTAATCTCCAAAAGGTCAGCACCAAGGGTTTTTGCCTTGCCCATATCAATCAACATCTTATCAACTGATTCTGCCATTATTGGAGCACAAATTAGGGTTGAACTCCTCCTCACTCCTTTACTTCCCACTTGCAGGCCACCAGAAGAAGCAAGCTGAAATTCCCACAAAAAAAAACAAATGTAGAAATGAGACAACATTCACACTAGGGCAGGTACAATTGCTCTGAATCTGATCTAACTAAGTTCAAGTATATCTATTTGGTTGGTTAACAAAACAATGCAGGAAAATACGTAACAATCTGACAATTTAGAAGCTTATCATTTCGTACTAATTTTCTTGGCAGCCAATCAGACAGAGAGACTAACATAAGAAATTGTAACACAAACTAGATTATCACAATTATTCTGCTTTCTTTCAAGTTTTCTATCTTCCTTTTGTGCTTAGAGAAAATCCTGAGATTCGGAAAGTTTCAATCAAATTTTCCAAAAAGTGGGTTTTTAGTAATTGTTAAGAAGAGTTGCTTACCAAAATGTTTTGAGTAGAATCCATTGCTGCTGTGAGTGAGGGTCTGAAACAAGCAGAGACGCTCCTTTTGGTCTGAGAGGGTCTTTGCAGGCGTCAAGAAGGAGTTTGGTGGGCGTTTATTTCCTTTCCTTTTTAGCTATTGAGACTTGCCCGACCTGGCAAAACGGGTCGTGTTTGGGTCGTATTCTTGTAAACCCGTTAAGAAAGGCGGGTTGACACGACACAACACAACCCATTAAATTAACAGGTGAAAAATAGCAAACACGACCCGTTTCAACCAAGAATTAAAAAAAATTTAAAGAAAAAGGAAAAAATTGGAAAAAAAACAAAACAACTTTTAAAAATAAAGAAGTATCTCGTCGACCAGCAGAGAAGAAGAAGAAAGCTGGAGTCACTGGACCTGGTCTTGGCAGCCAATCAGACAGAGAGACTAACATAAGAAATTGTAACACAAACTAGATTATCACAATTATTCTGCTTTCTTTCAAGTTTTCTATCTTCCTTTTGTGCTTAGAGAAAATCCTGAGATTCGGAAAGTTTCAATCAAATTTTCCAAAAAGTGGGTTTTTAGTAATTGTTAAGAAGAGTTGCTTACCAAAATGTTTTGAGTAGAATCCATTGCTGCTGTGAGTGAGGGTCTGAAACAAGCAGAGACGCTCCTTTTGGTCTGAGAGGGTCTTTGCAGGCGTCAAGAAGGAGTTTGGTGGGCGTTTATTTCCTTTCCTTTTTAGCTATTGAGACTTGCCCGACCTGGCAAAACGGGTCGTGTTTGGGTCGTATTCTTGTAAACCCGTTAAGAAAGGCGGGTTGACACGACACAACACAACCCATTAAATTAACAGGTGAAAAATAGCAAACACGACCCGTTTCAACCAAGAATAAAAAAAACAATTAAAGAAAAAGGAAAAAATTGGAAAAAAAAAACAAAACAACTTTTAAAAATAAAAAAGTATCTCGTCGACCAGCAGAGAAGAAGAAGAAAGCTGGAGTCACTGGACCTGGTGTTTGGTGCTGCGCGAGGTGTTCCTTCGCGAAGAAGGTTAGGTTGGGTTGGATTTTTCTTTCTTCTTCCTCTTCTTCCTTTTTCTTCTTTCTTTTCCCTCTGCCCGAGAAACCAAAGTATCAATCATCTTGTTCTCTTCACAGCATAAAGTTCAATGTTCTGTTCACATAATATAAAAAATTATACAAAATTGAGATAAATAAAATCTTACAGTACAAGGAAGAAAGACCAATGATGCTTCTCAGTCCTTGCAGTTGGAGTTTCAGAGAAAGGTTGAGTGAGGGTTTCAAATTTCAATCTTTCTCTTTTGTATGCTTTTGCAAAAATTAATATTATATTAACTTACCTACAGTGTTAAATTTATATAGGGTTAATTGTTTTATTAGTCTATGAACTTAACCCAATTTGTATTTGAGTCTTTTAATTTCCAAAATTATCTTGTGGTCCTTTAACTTCACTTTCATTAGGACAAATGGTTCTGTCATCAATTTTGTTAACTTTTTCTGTTAAATACTAGGGCAAAGTGATATTTTTATATTAAAACCAAAATAAATAAATAAATAAATAATATCTTTTAAAATAACAATAAAAGAAAATCAAATAAAAAACCAACAAAAAAAATAAATAAATAAAGTTTGGGGGAGAGAGAGAGTTTAATTTTTTATTCATATTTTAATCAATTTAATACAAAAATACAATTTTGCTCCTGCATTTAACAGAAAAGTTAACAAAATTGATAACATGACCATTTGTCCTAATAAAATTGAAGTTGAAGGACTACGAGAACGATTTTGGAAATTAAGGGATTCAAATACAAATTAGGTCTAAATTCAGGGACTAATAAAACGATTAACCCATGTATATAAATATCAAAAGAAATCAACAACAACAACAACAACAAAAACATGCATATAGCGCAATGGGAATTTTCGGTGTTTCTTTCTAAAAGTGGGGTAGGGGCACGAGTTTTTTTGTTTTTTTGTTTTTTTATTTTTTTTCTATTGTAGCTATGGATTCCCTTGATGTGTTTTATCCTTTATGCAAATTACAATTAGGGGTGGGCATCGGGACCGAAAAACCGGAACAACGAACCAAACCGGTGAAAAAAAATCGGATGTTGAAATAAAAAATTCATACCTATCAGATTAATTTGGATAGGCATTTGGGCTGTAACAAATTAATTCTAAATCAAGTGAGGCCCAAAATGAAGAATTCAACAACAGCAAAAGTGACGTGCCTAGAGATAAAATCCCATATATTTATCTCTAAGAAAAAGTCTCACTGCAACCCCACTTTCAAAAGAAATAAAAAAATAAAAGAAATAAAAAAATAAAAGAAATAAAAAATAAAAGGTGGGAAGAGATCGTGGTTATCCTCTGCAACTCCATTCAGCACAGAGGTCGCCAACTTAGCAAACGTGCTTCCCTAACTGCTATTCATCTTTTGCCTATAAAAGTCATGAAGGTACAGAGGCCAAAAAAAGGAGGGAGGCAGAAACAGAGGACAGAGACGAGAAGTCTGAAGGAGGAATTAATGAAATGCTGCAAAAACTGAAGGCAAGAAGCAAAGGAGAAAATCCAAAGTGCAGCAAAAGTCACTAGAAAAGAAAAGAAACACAACCAAGCGCCAGTTAGAACAGTAAATCAAAAAAGCATCATTGGCAAGGTATAATTATATTTGCCAGTTTAGCTTGTTGTTGTTAAATTAACTTGCAGGCAAAAGAGGTTTGGTTGTTAACAACTGCAGCTGCCATAATGACGTCAAAACAGCAGCAAGCCAAGGCTTTGAGAACGTGCAGTGCGAAATTCCTCCATGTCTTCCATGTCCTTGTTGTCAAAGAAGTCTAAAAAATTCCCTATTGTCAAAGAGATCTTACGAAACTGCAGGTCAAATAAATTGATCTTTCTCAAATTGGTGACGAGATGACTGCACAACTTTTACACAAAGAGAGCTCTCGCAAGGACCTCTCTATTGTGAAAAGGTTTTTTATCACAAATGGTCCCTTAGGTTTGCAAAAATCATCAATATTCATCCAATCCAATAAATCATTATCCAATAAAAATATTAGGCATTATCATCAATTAGAGATTTAGAGTTTAAAAATTACTTGAATATGAGCTTTTCCACACCACCAGCTAGAATCACAAAGATCTCCACCTCCTAGAAACACAAAAAACCCCATTATATAATGACCCAAAAGATTAAATTCCTCAAAAATTAATAAAAGAATGTAGCACAGAGGTTTAAGTACACTAAGAACAATAAATTTATAAAATCAGAGATGGAGAGGGAAGAGAATGAAAACCTGGTGAAGTAAGTCAAGCCCACAAGCCAAATAAATGAGGCTCCAAACGCAGCTTTGAACCTTTTCAGCCATGTTGAGGGTTTGGGGGTGGGGGTGGGAGATTGAGTTGGGAACCTAGTGTAGAAAATATAGAATTTGGGGGTTTTATGAGTTAAGTATCGGGTGGGTTTGGGGGGAGTTGCTGGGCCAGGTTATTTTAAAAACTTCTTGGGTCAAAACGACGTCGTTTTGCCCAGGAAATTTAAAAAAAAAACAGAACAGCACTTCTCTTCTTCTTCCTTACGCAGCTTATTTCTTCCTCAGGAGAAGCATCGAGCACCTGGTGTGCAGTTCCAAGGGGTCTCTCCCCCAACTCCAAGGGACCTCTAAGCCAATTTCTATAGCTTCCAAGAGGTCGTGCGACCCCACTGACCCCACTGTGGCTGTGCGAAGAAAGCTGATGAGGCCCTATATGTATAAGTAAAATAACAATTTTTCAAATTTTAAAATTCATAAATCATAAATATATTAAACCGAAATCATTATGTGGCATCAATTACATTAGACAAATAGAATCAAGATCATCCTTCGTCTATTTTCACACACTAGCATCTATTCAATTTTCTTTTACATATTTATAGCTGAGGTTGAGAATCAGACAGAGAAGAGTTTAAAGGCTCTTCGCACAGACCGCGGACGCGAGTACTTATCTGAACAGTTTAAAGAACTATGTGAAAATAAGGGGATACGCAGACAACTTACTGTTCCTTATACACCGCAACAAAATGGTGTTGTGGAAAGAAGGAATAGAACTTTATTAGACATGGTTCGGTCTATGATGGCGCAAGCTAATCTCCCAATTTCGTTTTGGGGAGATGCAATATTAACTGCTGCCTACATTGTTAACCGAGTGCCTTCCCAATCAGTCACTTCAACCCCTTATGAATTATGGAAAGGCGAAAAGCCCAATTTGGGGCATTTGCGCCCTTGGGGATCAGCTGGTTTTGTTCATAATACTTTCCACAAGCATGGAAAGCTTGGCCCTCGAGGTAAAAAACCTATCTTCATAAGGTATTGCGAGCACTCGAAAGGCTATGTGATGTATGGTGAACATGCTGATGGAGGAATGACTGAAATAGATTCCCGAAATGTGAATTTCATAGAGAATGATTTTCCTAGCATTGGTGATGCCCAAAAGAATCTTGATCTCCATGAGTTGGAAGGAAGTGAAGATATTTCACAATCTTTAAGCGAGGATGGGGAATTGACTCCTAATCCAGTAATCGCTAAAGAAAGTGACAATGATCTGCAACCTAGTGGGAGTATACCAAAGGATGGTACACCGCTAGAAACTCAAGATTTAATGGTGCGCAAGAGCAAACGAGGAAATATTCCCCGTCGATTTTTTGAAATTGAAGGGGAAACTTTCTTGTGTACTCCAATAGATGAAGAAGAGCTTGCTTCTTATAAGGAAGCGCTATCATCTTTAGCTAGTAAAGAGTGGATGACTGCTATGCAAGATGAGATAAGCTCAATGGACAAAAACAAGGTCTGGGAGTTAGTTGACCTTCCGCCTGGGCGCAAGACCGTTGGAAACAAATGGGTCTTGAAAATCAAACGCAAATCGGACGGTTCAATTGACAAGTACAAGGCACGTCTTGTGGCAAAAGGCTATACTCAAAGAGAGGGTATAGACTATGATGATACTTTCTCCCCTGTGGTGAGATTTGCATCTATTCGCCTAATCCTCGCTATTGTCGCACAAAAGGATTTGAACCTTTTTCAAATGGATGTTAAGACTGCATTTCTCAATGGAGATCTAGACGAAGAGATCTATATGGATCAACCAATGGGTTTTGAGGTCAAAGGACAAGAGCGCAAAGTTTGCCGTCTCAAACGTTCTATTTATGGCCTCAAACAGGCGTCTAGCCAGTGGAACATTAGATTTCATACCTCAATCATCTCTTTTGGTTTTGAGATGGTTGAAGAAGACCACTGTGTGTATCTAAAACGATCCAAGGAAAATGTTCAGATTCTTTCATTGTATGTTGATGACATTCTCATAGCAGGAGATGACATGGATTCCATTGTCGCCACTAAGAAGTGGTTGTCCGCAAAGTTTGAAATGAAGGACATGGGTGAGGCAAATTATGTGCTAATCATAAGAGACCGTTCAAAAGGACTTCTCGGTTTGTCTCAAGAGACTTACATTAAGAAGATACTTGAACGTTTTCGTATGCATCACTCCAAACCCATAGACACGCCAATGGAAAAAGGATGTGTCCTAACCCTTGGCCAATGTCCTAAAAATGATGAGGAAAGAAACCAAATGACCAAAGTTCCTTATGCATCTGCGATAGGAAGTCTAATGTACGCTATGTTGTGTACACGGCCAGACATCTGTCATGCAGTTGGTATGGTGAGCCGTTATCAAAGTAATCCTGGACCTGCTCATTGGAAAGCAGTAAAGAGAATTTTTCGATATCTGCAAGGTACCGCTGATCTTGTCTTATGCTACCATGGTGGCGATTTGAGACTTAGAGGTTACAGCGATGCAGATTGGGCCAATGACAGAGATGAACGTAAATCCACCTCTGGTTATGCTTTTATACTTGGAGGTGGAGCTATCTCTTGGTGTAGCAAGAAACAGTCTTGCATAGCCCTATCCACAATGGAGTCGGAATATGTTGCTTGCTCAGCAGCAGTTCAGGAAGCTGTTTGGTTAAGAAGATTCTTGCAACGACTAAACTATACAGCCAAAACTTGTGAGGCAGTACTTGTTTACTCAGATAGTACATCTGCTTTGGCATATGTAAAGGATCCGAAATACCATGGAAAATCCAAACACATAGATGTCAGATATCACTATATCAGACAGAGGGTAGCACAAGGAGAGGTTATATTAAAGCATATCTCAAGTGGCAATATGGTTGCTGATCCTCTCACTAAACCCATTGCTAGAGATGTGTTCCTTTCTCATATTAGGAGTATGGGACTACGAAGGTTTTAATATACCTATTTTTGTAATT